TTATAAATGATATATTTGACATAAATGATTATAGAAATCTAGTGAACAGTATGTGATCTGTTGTGATTACTGAGTATTTGTTCAGAGAATAAAAAATAGTTGTCTATAACAGCTTGCTTCTGCCCAAATTGTTATATGGAAGTGAGAGTTGAGTATGTGAGGAGAAACATATAATTAAGTTTAATGCACTGAGAATGGGTAACTTAAGAAGTGGATCTGGTAAAACAAGGATATAGTCAAGAACAAATGGATAATGAATGAATATAGATTTGAAAAAAGAGTGAGTGACCAGCACAAGTAGTCCTTGATTAATGACCACTTGTTCAGCAACTGTTTGAAGTTAAGATGGCACTGAACAAGTGGTAGTTAAGACTGGTCTGGAAGTTCTGGCCATCCTAGCATCCCCACAGTCACATGATCACAATCAGAGTGCTTGGCAACAGGCTTGCACTTACCACAGTTGCAGCGTCCCTTTGTCATGTGATTGCCATTTGCGACCTTCCCTGCTGGCTTCCCACAAGCAAAGTCAAGGAGGAAGACGGTAGGGAAGGTTGCAAGTTGCTCCTATAAGTTACTCCTGCTCCCACCACTTTTTCTCCCAAGGACCCCAGCTACGAAGTACAAGATCTTGCAGCACAATCCCCCTTGCATTCTGTAGTGCCCAGAGGTTCTTGTGCAGCGCCACAGCAGCTGCCAATGAGCCCTCCTGCACTTGGCAGCAGCCATCCCCCGGCTGTGCTGGTTTGGCACTGTGGCAGCCACACCGCACCCTGCAGCAAGCACCCACTGCCTGGCCGTGCTCATGCTGCAGCAACCACCCCCTTCCCAGCCATGCTCATGCCCTCCCACACCCGGCAGCAGTCATCCCCTGCCCGGCTGCACCACAGCAGCCACCAGCGCACCCTCCTGCACCCAGCAGCAGTCACCTCCTGCTTGGCTGTGCTCTTGCTGTTCTGCAAAGCCACTTGCCCGCCCACCAGCCTGCTTGCAAGCCGCCTGGGACTTGCGACTTCCTGCTGGCTTCACCATTGACTTTGCTTATTAGAAGCCAGCAGGAAGTCGTGAGGAGGTCCTCATTTAACAACCCACAATCCTCGCTTAACAATGGCAACGGAACTACTGGGATTGCTGTCACTAAGTGATGCAGCCATGTGACATTGTGCTTTACAACAGCATTGCTTAGTGACAGAAATTCCAGTCCCAATTACCATTGTTAAGCAAGAACTACCTGTACAAAGGGGGGACGCGGTGGCACAGTGGCTTAATGACGCTGAAAGTTGCCAGCCAGAAATGGTCGACG